AATGATTGATAGCGGCCGCGGAACTGATCGTCGTGGTAAATCCGCGCGCACGACGGCCCCGTTCATTCGGCGCTATTTATTGGAGAGGGACCTCTCGAACGAGCGGCAGAAAGGAAAAGAGAGAGAAAGAGAGGGAAAGAGTCCATACTCCTCATTCTCCCGGGCTCCCAGGCCGGGCAACAACGATATTGCATTATTCGGGCGTTATTATCTTTTTACCGGGCGCGCTTATCGAGCGGGCTCGTTGTTTCGGGCTTTAACAAATGGCCGGGAGATATCCTCCGCGACTTCATAGCGCCTCCGCTAGATACAAACGACACGTTTTATTTACGGCACGTCCAACCGAGAGAAAGATGGAGGCGAGAGAATGAGAGAGAGAGAGAGAGTGGGGGGAGGGAAAGCGGAAACGGAAGCAGAGGAAGGCGCAAATCGCATTTTCCAGGCGAATGAAGGCAGTGGCGGAGCCGTTACCGCATTCTCGAGCGAACTTCGCGTCTTTCTTGTGCTTCCTTTTCTTTTTCCCAAATAACACGAGTACTTGCCGAATCAGAGCCGAACGTAAGGTGTTGGTTGCTAAATTTTTTAGTGTTCGAACGCAAAGACGCACACATCAAGATTGCCTTGGTCTAACACATATTTTCATACAGCTCATTCATTAAAATTTGTCTAATAATTTTTCCTTATTTCTCAGCCGAAACGGAACTCTCTGCTTTTATACTTTTATGCTCTTTATATCTTACTTATTAAACCGAATTTATTCTATAATCTTTACCCATTCCTCCCCTTAAATGGAACTCTACTCATGAATTTCCGTGTTGCACGAAATATTGCTTCAGCCTCGCGTTATTCGATTGATGTCCCCACGTGTCCATTTGAAAATACGATTCTTTTTCCCCTTTCTTACAATAAACGTCTTCGAGCGACAAATCTCTTTTTCGCGCACCCGATAACGAAGAGATACGCTTGATAAATTTGTCCGTCTCGTGTAGTACACGAAGTGCCCGCTTTCATGCTCCACAATATGGTCCGGGCACGTGTGCTACATTTAGATAGCATATAGCCGCAAATCGAACGCATAATTCACCGGACAAGTTGGTAGGTAAAGGAACCTTTCATCGTCGCCTTCGCTCTCTCGTTGCAGATAAAAGCGCTGCTCGTGCCGCAAAGGACGAAATTGACGCGTCCCGTGCTCGAGGCGAGTCTCGAGAGGATGCGCGTCTCGTTGTACAACACGAAGCTACTAATGTCGACGCCCTACCTGCCCGCCTTCTGCTTCGTAAGTTTCCTCCAATTTGGAAGTATGCTCGGGTAAGTTGGCGTCGCGCAGACGACGCGACACTAATCGCGAATCGGGAGAAATCGGTCTGCCGGACCGAGGGTTGATGCGATGACGGGCCCTTCGACTGCATAGATTTCACACGATGAGGCTGTGGGTGCCACACATGTTCATCATCCTCAACAACTTCGACGCGGATAACTGGACGCCGGACACGAGGCAGCCGACCATGTGCGAGATGCTGGACCGGCGCGCGGCTTTACCGGGTCGACGTTACCTGAACTGCTCGAACTTCGACGAAGCGTGCTTCGAGGTCGGTCAAACTTGCGCGAGACTAACGCCAATTTCGCGTTCCTCATCGTGGGACGCGAACGAGACGTAATGAACCCGAGTCGAAATTTTGACCCTACTTTCGATCTGAACTTCCCAGCGTCTGTATATTCTGAAGAATCAGTGTGCCATTTCACATAAATAGAAACTGAAGTCCTACTTTGCGTTTGTAAGACGCGTATTAACAGGTATTACTTGGAACTCGTCTCAAATGAGATATTCAGATTTAAATTTAGAGTTAGAAGTAAGAATTTTAGTTATAATTGTAAATATAATATCGCAAATATCGTATGTTTCAATTGAGAAAAAAGAATTCAGTTCGAACTCTCTAAGAGGGATATTAATAATTATTGCTACAAACTCGTCTCGATTCAATTTCAATTCGGAATTAAATGAGAATTGAATCGCGCTCACAAATATAACATCACATATATCATATAATTTAATTAAAAATTTTAAATCTAATTTTAAATAGAAATCTCTCTGCAAATATTTCATACGAGACAAATTTCAGACGACAGCTACTAATGCAAATCTAAATAACAGAAAATTCACAATATGTCACTTGTAAGTTCTAAAGAGGCCCTCTAGGCAGAGTTAATAGTAGGTAAAATGGAATCAAAAGAGGTTGACATAGTATTGATAAAGTGGTGGGCGTTAAATGGAATATTGAAGTGGAAAGTAGGATTAAAATTTCGACTCAGGAATATTAAAATAAAAAAGAAAAAGGCAATGGATTTATGAAATGCGCGCGCGATTGTTAGCCGTTCATTTAAGAACGTAACGTTTTTAATTAACGATGCCGATTTAATTGGATCGACCGTCAATCAGCCGCAAATGGCGGCCTTCGTTAACTATTCTGTCGTAAATGAAATTCACGTAATAATTACGACGCTCTGATGCATTTTCAGTGGACGATCAATCCCGTGATTTATCAAAATTCCACTATTATCGCGACATCGGCAGTCGTGTTCTCGTTCCTCGCTGGATTTATAATGAACACCAAGCTTCGCAAGCAAATCATAATGCGTAAGATACCCGTCTCGTTCACGGCATAACTATTTCGCGAAAACCACGACTGCGCGTGTCTCCGTTCCCTACAAAACGCAATGATTCTTACCACTCGACATGTGTGTGTATGTGTGACACTCGCAACACATCCAGACACAAACAAACATCGCGGTGTTTTCCGCCGAGACAAAAAATCAGACCTTGAATTCATTGGGGAATCCGTCATCAAAATTAAGGCCGCGCGTTAGGGGACACCCTATATATTCCCGTTATACGCGGCGCAGAAGTGGTTAAGCGTTGTTTTCGCGACCCCACCCCTGGAGAGCAATCCGTAAATTAACGGGTACAACACCATTGTTGCAGTCACGGCCTTCCTGATATCGGTGGCAAGCAGTTTCGGAATAAATTGGGCGCAGTCTCCGCCGTACATGCTGACGCTGGCGGCGGCGGTTATCGTGACGACAAGAATAGCGGGTAATGTCGTTACCGCGGTGAATGTCGACGTTATTCCCGTCCCATTAAGGTAATGCCACGTGAATATAAGCGCGTCTCTTTGATGCGCGACCGTATCCGTTCTTTCTCTATCTCTCTCTCTCTCTCTCTCTCTCTCTCTCTCTCTCTCTCTCTCTCAGATCGGAAGAGC